TTTACTGTTTAAAATGTTTGAAATCATAAAGTGCACTTAATAAACCCTTTGTTAACCAAATTTGACTTTGTTCTGACTCTTTTTTAATTTGTTGTTGTTTTTTTCCCCCCATTGAGATGCATTGAATAGGTTTCAATGCATTTCAATCGGGGAACCGTGTTTCGCTTAGCGATGTTTCCTATGGCGATTTTCGCTTAAGGACGGCAATTTCACTCCTATTGGAACGGATTATCCGGTTTTCAATGCATTTCAATGGGAAACTGTGTTTCGCTTAGTGATGAAATTGCTTAGCAGCAATTTTTTCGGAACGAATTAACATTGCTAAGCGTGGCGCCACCGTACTTCTATCATCAGAGGCCAAGCTATGGAAGGAAGATGGAAATTCATTGACAACCTTGTTCCTGTAAATTTCGTTCCTCCCTGATGCTCTGAACGCTTTCCTTTCTTTTCTCCGGGCCTTTAAAAAAATCTCAAAATCAAATACGAAAGTAACCAAGGCCAATCAAACAGATATTCTTTTCTTTTGAAAGGAGGAAATTCTGTGATTCTCATGTACATGCCCGGTTTGTAACATTTCATCGTATCTGCTAAGAACTACCTTTTTGCACAGAACTTGCAAACTGCATCGATAAGGTTTCTCACCTGAGTCGGCGCCTTGGCCATGCCGCGTCTACCATTCTATACCCTTTGTTTGTTTCAGTGTACACAACGCTTTCAGGCAGCTTCGCACCCAGCTTAAAAATTCCTATGGATTGCTCTTGGCCGTAATTGTAAACAGGGAACAGTTCAGCTCTTCAGAAATTCAGTCTTCCAGTCCTATTTTGCTTCTGCCTCCGTGGTTCAAAAGGGATGGAAAATGACCTGACGTTGCTGCACAATATTGTGCCCGCGTTGCCAGCAGGCAAAAAGACGCCAGAAGCTTTACGTAGCAAAAGTCAACCTGAATGTTGATGACACCCATGGCAGCCGTCAAGGTGGTCTACGGGACCCTCTCTTCTGCTTACTAACGTTCACAAAGAGACATTGAGCAAAGGAACAGCCCAAAAACTGTTGTCCTTTCTCCATCAGTCCACCGCTTCTCACCCAAACACAGAGCTATTGATCTGGCTGTCACCTGTTGCCCTTCTGGCTACCTGGGACCCTTGAAGACCCTTGACTTGTTTCTGCACCCACCGAGTAATGTGCATCCATCTAAACTAAACAGCAGATGCAAGCGGCAACAGGAAAATTATAGGAGCTGCAAGAAAATTACAGGAGGCGCAATCGTTTAGCCAGCAAACAGAGACACGATTCAATCAGACAGGCGAGTCTCCAGTGCCTTACAAATTTAAAACGCCTGTGCAAACATGCACATTTGGATTTTGATAAGGAGAAAGCAAGGATGGCATCCACTCTTTGGGGGGAGGGAGTGGGATAGTGCAGGAAAGCCCCAGGAAAGGCGAAGGGCCCCACATTGCTCACCCTTAGCCCATTCTAGCAGGCAAACAGCTCTCTGGGATCCCCAAAGACCATCTGAGAGAAAAAAGTATGTGCGAGAGAGAACACTGTCGTTTCTTTATTTATAAAAATATGCCACTTGTATAGATCATTGGTTCTTAACCTTGGGTTACTCAGGAGTTTTGGACTGCAACTCCCAGAAGCCTTTACCACCAGCTGTCCTGACTGGGGTTTCTGGGAGTTGCAGTTCAAAAGCATCCGAATAACAAAGGTTAAGAACCACTGGTATAGACTGCCCCATAGGATACACTCTCTTTGGCCAGTTTACAATTTAATTACGCAGGCTACACATTGACACACACGCACACACCCCAGCAAGCCGGGCACTCGATTTACCCACTTCAGAAGGATTGAAGGCTGAGTCAATCTCGAGATTGAGCCCATTGGGATTGAATTTAGGTCACGAGCAGAGATGGCAGGAATTGATCTGGGGAACCTTTGCATGCAAGCCAGTTATCCTCACCTTTTAGACCACAAGTATTCAGAATCGAGAAGCTCGCCTGGCGGTGGTGGCTGAGAAACTCTGGCCCCTGTACTCACAGCACTGTGTAGAATTCTGCTTCAAAGCTCTGTCCTTAAATGACAGAATGCTGATCCACTAAACTTTGCATTTTATCCCCCCCCCCACCAGCCGCTCCTCTCAAGAGCACGCACAAGGGAAGCTGCTTCTCACCCTTCTCACCCTGTTAAGTGAGATCTGTTTGACTGATGACTGAATTGGGGGGGGGTGCTCCTGCGTGCTTAGCGGGTGCTTTAGGCCTCCATCGCCATCAGAACTAAGAACAGGTTCTTGGCACAACAAAATGTTGCAGCGCCGAGGGCCACTGGTTCAGGATTGTAGGCACTCCATCCCCCAATTCTCTCCCCCCCCATCAATCTACATTCAGTGGAAATTGAGAACCCACAGTCTATTTTGGGGATCAAAACTTTGGTGTGTGGTTTTTTCCAGCCTTAAGATTATCTCTGGTGGTTATTTTTTTAACTTTTGCAAACTTTAGCGCTTTTCCAAGCCTTCCTTGTTTATTTTATTTATTTATTCTATTTATATCCCGCCTATCTGATCATTGCGACCACTCTAGGCGGCTCACATGGGTGGTATGACTTAACTACATATATGCCATAAGTAGCTTGTACGGAATTCAGAACCTTGGCAAAGACAGAGGAACTGACTTCGATCAAATCAGATCACAGCTTGGAAATAACTTGTTAGGAAAAAAATGATTATAGGTACAAGCGAAATAGAAATGAAAAGTTAAAAAAAAAGGATCAAAACCTTGGTGTCTGATGAAGTGGACTCGTCCACGAAAGCTCACTATATATATATATAAGTTAGTCCTTAAGGCGCCATGATGTTTTTGTCCTTTTTAAAAAACTTTTTATATCTATTTTGCTTTTACCTATAATCTTGCACAGACTAACACGGCAACCCCTCCTACAACTAGAAATAATGAGTGACTTGTCATTAATTTCTCCTTGCACTAACAATCTCACTTTATGACAGCAATGTGACAAGACATAACTTAATCGCTTCTTTTGGGATACAGCTGTTAACTTGTTTCAATTACTTTCATTTTTCTAAGGGGGGGCGCCTCACTGCTTATTATATTTTAGGACAGCACCTCTTATCCTTTGACTCCCCCCAAAGCAGCTGTAAGTGTCTATTAGTTTTGAAACACAAGAAAGAAAACACTAGTTGTTGATTTTAAAGTAACTATAATAGTAAGTTACTCTTTGGGAGAGGACTTTAAAATTGTAATTGCAACCAGTTCCTTTTAAAACTCCCTTCCCAAGTTCTGAGCGAGACCTTGTGTCCATAGCAATGTTATCTCTAAAGACGGGAAGCTGTGGCTTTCCAGAGTCTGAGGCTGGATTCTCTTGCTCGGCCTTACCTGGAGACGCTTTGATCTGAGCCCGGCATCATCTCCATCTAGGCAAAGGAACTGCTCGCCCTTGGAACGCCTTTTCTTTCTCCTCTGTTGTTGCCATATCTGATCAGGAGCTACCGTGTTTCCCCGAAAATGAGACAGGGTCTTATATTCATTTTTGCTCCAAAAAACGCATTAGGGCTTATTTTCAGGTTAGGTCTTATTTTCGGGGAAACAGGGTAATATAGTCTCAGTAATGCTTTATCTGGAAATTACATTTTGCGAACCTAGTTGTACGCAGGTTTTCAAGGAAAACAGACAGGGCGTTTTCCAGCCCGTTTCTCAACCGAAAACTTGAGTTCCTCTTCCAACACTTCCTTCTTATCTCTTCAGGGTATGCCACAAGGGAGTTCAGTTCCTGTAAACCACCCTCATAGCTGAACGGACAAGAACACACCCCTCTCCCCTCCTCTCCTCTGACTCCCAGCGATAGCGCTTACACAGTGACAGGCAGAATTTGCTCCGATTGCACCTTCCCGGAAATGTCTGCCTCGTGAAATTAACTTGCTTTTGTTTAAACCATAAACCAAATAATATACAGACTTGGGGTGGCTAGCATGTTAACAGTAAGGACTGGTGTTTGTATGTTTTGTATACTTGGGAGAGTGGGGGGTTGACTTGGTTTTGAGCCACCCAGAGTAGTGGTTCTTTAGTAGATGGGTCCTACATCCATCCGTCCATCCATCCGTCCGTCCGTCCGTCCGTCCGTCCGTCCGTCCGTCCGTCCGTCCGTCCGTACGTACATACATACATACATACATACATACATACATACATACATACATACATACATACATACATACATACATACATATTTGTGTCTGATTGCCCATCTGTCACTGTTCCTCTATCTCGCTTTCCTGTCATTCTATAGTATCATAGAATCATGGGAGGGGCCTCTAAGGCCATCCACTCCAACCCCCTGCTCAAGGCAGGAATCCCAGTCAAAGCAGATCCAGCTGCTGGTTGTCTCATTTTCTCCTGAATGCCTCCAGCATTGGAGCACTTAACATCTCCTGAGGTCATTTGGTTCCATTGTTGTACTGCTCTAACCGTTAAGAAATTTTTCCTGATATTCAGCTGAAATCTGGCTTCCAGTCACTGGAGCCCATAATGATGTGTCCTGCACTCTGGAGTGATAGAGAACAGATCCTGCCCCTCCTCTGTAGGACAGCCTTTCAAGTGTTTGAAAAGTGCTATCATGAACTCGCATGATCTCAAGTTACCAATCTCCAACCTGTCCTTCTTAAACAGGCCCAGTAACTATTCTGTATGTGTACTGATTGCAAGTATGTATTGGATCTGTTCCTAACACCGGACCTCTTCTGTTCCTTCCGCCTGTTGAGGTTACCCCTTGTCTTCATTCACACATGCTTGAAAGTGGCTTCTACCATTCTGCTAAGTAAGAAATAAGAAGAGGGGGGGAGAGAGCATAGCTTTTCTCCAACTTAGAGGTAAGCTGCTGTAACATCTTGCAAATATGTCCGTTTATCAAATCAGCTTGCATTTTTTACAGCTTTCTGGGCTGAACTTCTGATCCGAATCGCTGAAATCATGCCTTCAGAGAGGGGTGAGAAATTCAGTCTGGCTTGCTGCCTTTGAACTTCTTGTCTTATACTAAGCAAACAAGTGTGTTGGTTTTGCATTACTTCAGGATGATGCTAGAGGGTGGGCGAATTGAGGGAGGCTTAAGTGTCTAGGAAGCATATTTACATAGTGTGCAACAGCACTCTGAGGATTGCAGCCTACGTCATCCTACATGTCCTTTGCAGTCTGTATTGCTGAGAAACAATTTGGCGGAACCATCATGCTCAAGTTTACGGAGTCTTATCCAAATCTGAGTACAGTTGTAATGTTGTGCGTATATTTGTGCATCTTTATCACCCAGCACAGCTTTGCAAAAGTATTTTAGCAATTCACGCTTATTCGGTCCATCCTTAGAATCCTGACAAGGTCTCCATATTATTTAAAATAGCCACAATATTCTGTGTGAAGACATGGAGACAATTATACTCCCAACTCTCAGCCTATATTGAATCTCAGCAAAGTACAAACAACATCTCCTTAAAAAATACAGAATCATAGAATAGTGAAGTTGGAAGGGGCCTGTGAGGTCATCAAGTCCAACCCCCTGCTAGGATATTTGCCAGAGGGTTGTCCAATTTTGATTGCCTCCAGGGTTGGAGCATTCACCAACTCCCGAGGTCACAGGTTCCATTGTTGTCCTGCTCTAACAGTTAGGATGTTTTTCCTGATATTCAACCGAAATCTGGTTTCCTGTAATTTGAGCCTATTGTTGCATGTTCTGCACTCTGGGATGATCAAGAACAGATCTTGCCCCTCCTCTATAGGACAGCCTGTCAAATATTTGAAAAGTGTTATCATATCTCCCCCACCCCACCCCAGAGTCTTCTGTATATATATTTTAAAATGCTGACAGCATGACTGAACGGACACATTATAAAAGAAACCACAGTATCTCTTTCATGAAAGTCTGCTTCTGTTCATGCAACAGTGTCAAGGAGACTGAAAGAAAAGGACTTGACTCATGAAAGAACTAATTGTTGAATAACTTTTTACACAGACGGAATCAGTGGGGAAAAGTCATCCCACTGATGTCCTGAAACACAATGCGTGCATGGCACCAAACTTCCTAATCTGTTCCCCACCCCCCCCAGACACACACACAACTGCATTGTTTTGCTCTACTGCAATCTCGACGCGTGCAGGAAATTCAGTCAACAGCCTTGGGTAAAAATCGCTGTCCTCCAATCTGCTGAGCCTGCATCGCGGAAGGCCATGGGGCATGCATTCCCTGACAAGCGGTGCTGAGCACCTTGGGGAATGGGTGCCTAAGTGGGCTAACAACCAGCTGACACGCTTGCCTGAGAATGTATAGGCAGCCATCGTGCCAAAATATATACATATATATGAATCTGTATCATAAAACATCTTGAAACAACCTTACAATGAAAATGTATATCACACTGCTCCATGAACCGAATGCCGTTTCTGTCTTCGCTATAATATTTTGAAAGCGGAATGGTTGCCTGTCCCACTAAATAAATATATATTAAAAACATTCTCATGAAAATATTAATAATAAAAAAAAAACACCACAAAGTTTCTTCAAGAACTCTGAAGGTCACAGCCTGACGCAGGATGAGAAGAGTAGTCCCCTTGAACACTACGAGGCTTACTTCTGAGTAAGCATGCGCAGAGAAGCAAGCTGCAATTCTCCCCGTACATCTTGTCCACGGATGATCTAGGGTGGGACGTCTATGAAACTGGGTGGTATCCCTGCGGTGTGGGTCATTCTCGACCTGGCACTCCCTGATGCCTTGGACTACAACCTCCATCATCCTCTAGCAACACGCATCCATGTTGACTGGGTAGGATGGGAGTTGAAGGTAAAGGCAGATGAAGTACAGCAGGGTGGAGAAGGCTAACGTATACACAATCTGGGGTCATTCAGACGACTCCAGCCAATTTAAAACCACTGGTTCGAGGCACTGTCTCTAAACATCGGACACCGGAGGAGAGAATAAAGAGGGGAAGATCAAGAGCCCAGAAGACTCATCGTTACAGATTGTAATTGGAGAAGAAGCAAAAAATAAAATAAAGTTCTACAGCCAGTATGTGCTGTTGTGTTGTGTGGTGTATCTATTGCCACTTTTGTGCTGAACCTTTTCAGCCTGTCTGACCTTTAGAGTTTGACTCCAGAAACCTGAGACTGGAGTGCGCAGAAATGCGCGGAGGCGTTCAAAAACACACGGTGTGGCATGTTCAGCAACCCAAAGACCCACACACAAGAGAGGCTCATGCACACACAGACAAAACTTACCGCGTCCGGTGTCCAGCTTTTCACGTGGCTCGGCTCTCCTTCTTGGCCATCTCCAGTTCTTTAAGGAAAGGATGGGGCCCACAGGCCAAGCATGGCTTCCTTCCTGGGGAGTCTCTCTGGACTTTCTCCCCCAAAACTCTGTGGGTTCCTCTCCCGGGCTGGAAGAAGAGCCACCACGGCTGGGAGCAGCTACAACAGCAGCAACGGGGAAAGAAGAGGCGGTGGAGAAGTGCCAGCCGTTCTTGCCTGCCCTGAGAATGGTCTGGACTGGTCTGTGATCGCAGGAGGGAAAGCTCCAGCGCCGGCCCTCCTCCTCCCCTGGCCTGATCCTGGACGGTGAGGGAAGGAGGAGGGAGAACACCCAGAGCCCGAGGAAGGGAGCCCAGCCCACGCCAGCCTCTCCTCCTCAGTGTGGCCAATGCGACACCCAGTTGCCACCAGCTGCCAAAGGAAGCAGCCCTTGAGTTGCAGCACAGTTCACTCTTTGCAAAGCAAACAGCCCCCGTCCCCGCTGACAACCAGCCAGATTCCTTTTCTCCTTCGAGGGGCCTCTGTGAAGAGAAACAGCGGTAGGGGGGCTTATTTGGGAAGATTCTAACTCCGTGCCAGATGCGGTGACAATCCTTCTTGGCTTTGCTGCAGGGCTTTTCCTGGTGGCCCTCCACATCTCCTGCAAGTTCTGAATTTTGCTCGTCTACTGTAAAATACCGTGTTTTTTGTGTATAAGACCCCCCCCATGTATAAGACACCCCCCTAGTTTTCTAATCCAAAATTAAGAAATCTGAGTGGGGCTTAGCAAGTGTAGGGGGAAAGGGATCAACGTGCTGCAGGATCGCTTTGATCCCTGCTTTCCCCTCCACTTGTTTTTGTTCAGTTTACTTCCGTGTATAAGACCACCCTCAATTCTTAGTTTAAAGTTTAAGATAAAAGTATAGTCTTATACATGGAAAAATATGATACCTCTTTCTAAAAGTATAGTCTTATCCATGGAAAAATATAATACCTCTTTTGGCTTCTTCCGAAATCCCTTGAAGGTCTTCTCTGAAATAGAAGTTCTGGGTTTGCACATATTTCCTGCAAAACCCGTTCGGGTTTCCTTCAAGACTCCGGACATGTTTTGCCCGAGGTGGAAGCCCTGAGTTCACCTGGAAGTCTCTGGATCAACCTGGACAGGATGTGGGAGCCGTCCCTCCGTCCCTCTCATCAGAAGAAGGGGTTTGAGTGGAGGCAGGCGTCCCACCCAGACAGAAGCATCAAGGTAGAGCGCAGGAAGTTACTTTTAAAAAATAATTAATAGCTGCCAGAATGTTTTTTAAAAAAGAAATCCTCTGTAATTATATACAGCAATTTTTTAAAAAGTAACCGGTGATGTTATCTGTGTTGTATATTACGTTTTCATGACTTTTAGAACATTCTTTTGGAATTGATCATGGCATAAACACTGAAAAATGCTTTTCAGAATCTTT